TTGCATTGAGGCTCTGGACACATTTGTGTCCGCGGCTGGTTTTAAAATGTTGATGTCATTCACCTTTGGTTGCATTCTGCCAAGCAATGAATGGCATGTACATAAAACATTTTGAATAATTATGTCATAATCGAACTAACACGATAATTAGCGAGCCCACCTAGGCATCTTGATGTGGAATTTTTTCATAATTCAGGGACCAACATACTGCAATATTAATTTAAAGACACACACATCATACGACGACAGCATACAAACAGAATATCGTTGAAATAATGTCACAATTGTTTGTAGGTGAGAAGGGGGCAAGGTTTACTCTGCACGAGGGACGACAGTAGCCAGAACTACCACTATGACGATCAGAAGACATAGTATCATGAATGGTAGCCACGTCTTGAGGAATCCACCAACTCTGTATAATGCAGAATTGTGGCAGTATCACTACTAGATAGATGTACATATACAGTTTTCTACTTTCAACAGAGCTGCCAAGTTCGTGTATGCAGCATGCGTAACATTATATTTAACCCTCGGCACGCATACGCAGCGAGGGGTTACAGTAGTTGGTGTGTCAGTCTGTCTGTCTGTCTGTGTGTCGACGCTTATTCTGGCACTACAGGCTATGAGGCGGCCTATTAGAGATACCAGCGGCTTCAGAACTATGTACGCGAGCCTGAAAAATAAACGGGTGATTTTCCTGAAACGACTGCGTTCGAGAGATATGCCGTGAAAACAAGCGAAAATGTCAATATGGATAATCGCACTGGGCTTACCGTGACCCGATCCACTCACTCTGTGTACCTTGGGGGCTCAGGAAGTCACAACGAATGGCATGTATCGACTCCCGCATGCTACAGTATCTACCACTGTAGCTAGCCCGTGTCAGATACTAGGGGAGACCACGGGTAAACGCATACAAATAGCCAAGCCCATCGATTAGCAGTATCGCGCATGCGCAGTTCACCGAGGGTTTGCACTTTAGTGCTTTTCATTTTGTGTTGTAAGTATCTTACCAATTCCGTAATTTGCCGTACTCCCATAGGTAACGTATGGGATAATAGCTATATAGCGCAATGTCCATAAATTAGTCCGTATATGATTATGCGCACTTGGCAGTTTTATTTTAACAGGATCTGGAGGCTCGAGACTATCGTTTAGTAAAGTGACTTACCCAGTGAATTTCCCGTAGAGGATGACAAGGAGCCCCAGTTTGAACATGTTCCATGAGGAGGACCCGTTGTAGCGCATGAGGTTGAGGGCCCTGGCCACGTGCGAGTGGCAGTTGTCACAGCACAAGTTGTGCTGCAGGAAACACAGTTTGTATATACAGCAAGATTTACATAAGCACGTACTTAAATGAAAACCCCCGCGTAAATGAAAAGCACAAACAACCCTTTAATTAAATGTTTGTTAACCAAACAAATGTGTTTCATTTGTTTGAGTACTTATGTATTATAATACAGTGTAAATACGTATTTTGTAGTTTTACCATTCTATGTCCATATTCCTCTGAGGCCTGGTGGACAGAATCATCCCACGTACTGCTCTCTGCCTTGGAGGGACTCAGTTGCCAGTACCTGAACCAGTACAGAAGATGTGTGTATAGCAGCATAAGGGCACAAACGACCTGTCCATTTGATATGTGTACACTATATACAGGGACATGTGATGCAGAAGCCAGTAGCTATACATGGGAAGAATGTAAATACTCTCCGTGCCAGCGTGTATATACATGCCATAGCACAGTGGTTTGAGGTTTGCCTTGTGTTGTGTTGTGTTGTAGATTCGAACCCCTACCAGCTGAGTTGCCCTGGTAGCTCAGTTGGTAGAGCGCTCGCCTAGACTGCAGAGTGTCGTGGGTTCAAATCCCACCCAGGGCAGCTCTTCTTCTTTTCTTGAAAAGAAGAAGAGCTGTCCTGGGTGTAGTTGACTTGTTTGCCTTGCCTTTCTACCTCGTTACCAAGTTGTTGAGACATGCTTACATTACTCACATTGTGGGCCTCCCAAAAGCCATGTTGTCCTCCTGTAGTGACACAAGTTGTACATACAGAGACCCAGGAAAGAAAGAAGAGTCAAAGAAAGAAGAGTTAAAGGATAGAGTTAGTTAGATATAAACCAGCAAATTACAGCACAGTGTTGTGTAGGACAGGCCATATCTTAGCCCGTTCATAGTATGCACATAAAAGAAACTCCAATTATTATGACATTGTACTGTACGGTGTATGCATTCTCAGTATTAATAATTGTGGGAATAACTTAGCCTGCACTGCGGTATTCTCATCACAGTGCAGTGCGCGTTACTCCTTCATTTAGTCTACCACTCTGTACACATGCCGTATACATTTGTTATATGTATATACACAGCAGTCAGTACCACCACATCTTGTGTGTCAATGACAGTGGTAGACCAAAGCCTTGACAGACTGATGTGTGTAAAGCGTACAACAGTGGAGGGGATAATCAAGTATTACACATACAGACTAGAAGGCTTTTCAAGATATATATTATGTACATGCAGTTTGTCATCTACTACCTAAAGCTGTTTTTTCCTTTCCCATTTGTGTACTGAGACTTGTTGTCACACTACGTATGTACGTCGTGTATCATACCGAGACAAAGTAAGGTCCAGCAAAGTCCCTGATGACTCCAGCACTGGTACATATCCCCATGTGGCCAATGATCGGTATGAGCCACCTGTTGGAACACACAACTCACTAACAACAAAACCTTTTACATACGCCAGTATCGAGGTGTGGAATACAAGAAGGTGCACGTGTACATACATGTAACAACGAGGTACACAGCAAGGCAAAGGAAACAGGTCAACTACACCAAGGACCAACCAAGGACCAACCGGTATAATGTGGGGCAAAGAGAATTTCGTGCATGAATCAGAGAGTTGTCCCGTTCTAGTAGAGTGTGCAACCAACGACATGTTTATTCTCTCTTCATCGCGGTGCATATTGCCCTAAGAACATAGTGTACATACTGTACTTTAAACAGGCCATTTTCTTTCACGTCCAACGAATATACACCGAGAGAGAAACGGGCATTGTTCCTACAGAAAAACTTCACCTCTGTCTACTTATAAACTTACGTAATGACGGGAAGAGGGGTCCACACTATACAGTAAGGGTAGCGCTGTCGGTCATGGTCCACAGGCTTCTCGGGAACGGGGCTGGAGGAAGACATCTTTTTCCAACCACTGGACATGTTTTTGGTGTTTTGTTATTACGTCACTTTCAAGGTGCGCATGCGCCGGGGTTGAACTTCGCACTTTACCACGAGTGTAGATCGTGCAAGTATTAAAAGCAAGCGAGACAGACTGAGAAAGAGGGAGCTAGGGCGAATGGATGCGCTGAAGAAGGGATGGTTCTCGGAGCTGCACAATCTTTGGCCGGGGCAGTCCATGTCGCTGGAGGTGGAGGAGGTGCTGCACGCGGAGAAGACCCAGTTCCAAGATATCCTCATATTTCAGAGGTCTGCAGAATCCCTGTACTACACAGCTAACATTTTACACTTCAAACGGAGAGGACTGGGATCCCATTAATTGCTTGCCATTGATACTCCAGTACCACTCTAAAGCTGCTAAAAATTCTGTTAATTGCACTTCCATAGTGTCCTGTTTACTCTGTGTGTTGGTATAGCCAGTAATCAAAGCTGTAAAGATATTTCACGGTACTTAGTGCAATGCAGTGTTTGTTTGTGTGTCTGTTTCTCTAGTAAGACGTACGGACGTGTGCTGGCACTGGATGGAGTCATTCAGTGTACAGACAGAGACGAGTGTTCGTACCAGGAAATGATGGCTCATCTCCCTCTCTGCTCACACCCCAACCCCTCCAAGGTACATGTCTCAACAACTAGGTAGCGAGGTGGAAAGGCAAGGGAGGGCAAAAAAGTCAACTACACCCAGGTCATCTCTTTGTTTTCAAGGAAAAGAAGAAGACCTGCCCTGGGTGGGATTTGGATATGTATCCATCTCTGCTCACACCCCAACCCGTCCAAGGTGTTTACATAAGGTTCCCTTTTCTTTGTTGGCTCCAAAGCACAGAGCTAGTGCAGGGATTAATCCTGCATCTTTTATTGCATGGAGTCACATAATAAATTGTGTAAGGCATGTTTCCATGGCTAATGTTTTGAGAGAAAAAACAAGCGTGCTTCCTGTGCCGCGTTTACTCTGAAGAAGTTTGTATGGTTGAGTGTGTTTACTGTGGCACCCCTTAATTAAGGATAACTCTCTAATAAGGACACCGTTTCTTTCCCCGAACAACAACTATCTGTGCATTTTAACTCCTGCAATAAGAAAAATTTGTTCTGTTTCATTGGTGTATGGATTATACGGGCTACCCTGTAATAATGAACCCAGGTGTTGGTGGTTGGTGGAGGAGATGGAGGAGTAGTGAGAGAGGTTGCCAAGCACAGCTGTGTGGAGGAGATCCACCTCTGCGAGATTGACCAGGTACAGCAATCATCTGTTTTATATACCAGTAGGCAAATGCAAGGCATTTTTGGCGAGCGGGAAGCGAACACACAATGACTGTATCTGCACGAGCCATCCTAGCCGATTAAAAACTTGCACCTTGGAACCACGGAGATTGGAAGGAGGTACAGCCTCCGTCAGGCACCGAAGAGAGCAGCGAATTCTCTCGCTGGCTAGATTGCGCATCGAGGATTATGTAGGCAGTGTGTAAAAATTTGAAACCATTACATTTATGGTGACAGCACTATCTATCAGACAACAATGTTGGCTCACTCTTTTTGCCAGATAATTATAATGTGGGTGCAGTGTATGATCCTGAGAGCCCCCGCCCTCTAGTGTTCCAAGAATGTGGGAGGGAAAATAATTTTTGTGTGTATTATATATACAGTGTGTATTATTTTGTGTTGATTCACAAATCAGCGAGTTGTGGAGCTGAGCAAGCAGTACCTGCCGCAGTTGTCCTGCGGGTTCTCTGACAGTCGAGTGGCAGTTCACTACCAGGACGGAGCAGAGTTTATGACTCAACACCCGTCCCAGTTTGACGTCATAATTACAGACTCCTCTGACCCCATTGGTATGATATATATGTACTGTAGACCCCACATTGGCGTAGTACTGTAGTCCTATATACTGTACACATAGCAGTACGTACGGTCATAGATAATATTATAACGGAACCGCTATATTATCTATGGTACTGTAGACACCATTGGTATAAGTAGTACAGTACTATACTAATGGTGTCTACAGTAACTGTAGACACATTAGTAATCTAGATCCCATCAGTAATACTTATAGTAAGCATTACAGTACACGGATGTGCAATGAGGGTCTAACATATGCACGCTCAAAGTGGGCTTGTTTCGCTCACCCATCATCTCCAATGTAACACTGACTATTTAAGGCAATATGGGATGTGTTTGTTGTGCCTCGTGACTGCCTGGTTTTCATCTCTTCAGGTCCTGCAGAGTGTCTGTTTGAGCAGCCGTACTATGAGAAGATGAAGAAGGCCCTCAGGCCAGGAGGAGTCCTGTGTGCACAGGGTAACATTACTTAGGGGGCGAGTTATCCTGGGTCCCTCAGGCCAGGAGGAATCCTGTGTGCACAGGGTAACATTACTTAGGGGGCGAGTTATCCTGGGTCCCTCAGGCCAGGAGGAGTCCTGTGTGCACAGGGTAACATTACTTAGGGGGCGAGTTATCCTGGGTCCCTCAGGCCAGGAGGAGTCCTGTGTGCACAGGGTAACACTACTTAGGGGGCGAGTTATCCTGGGTCTCTCAGGCCAGGAGGAGTCCTGTGTGCACAGGGTAACACTACTTAGGGGGCGAGTTATCCTGGGTCTCTCAGGCCAGGAGGAGTCCTGTGTGCACAGGGTAACATTACTTAGGGGGCGAGTTATCCTGGGTCCCTCAGGCCAGGAGGAGTCCTGTGTGCACAGGGTAACATTACTTAGGGGGCGAGTTATCCTGGGTCCCTCAGGCCAGGAGGAGTCCTGTGTGCACAGGTAACATTACTTAGGGGGAGTTATCCTGGTCTCTCAGGCCAGGAGGAGTCCCTGTGTGCACAGGGTAACATACTTAGGGGGCGAGTTATCCTGGGTCTCTCAGGCCAGGAGGAGTCCTGTGTGCACAGGGTAACATTACTTAGGGGGCGAGTTATCCTGGGTCTCTCGTTGCTTCGGGTCGTTATAGTTTCAATGTCTAGTAGTCTCAACCCTAGCCCGCGTACTGTGTACTGAAACTATAGCATTAGCTCTCTTGACTTTTGTGAAGCGCGGAGCGCACAACCAATGCCCCGCCTCCGCGCCGCGCAAATAATCACGCGGCACGCTCACGCACAGCAGCTGCCTACAACATGGCTGAAAGTTAAAAAAATGTGAAGAAATAACATTTGCTTTACCTTTCTTGCTATTGTTCCCATCTACAAGCATTCCTTCTGCCGTGCAAACTGACAGCACTCGTATATATTATTCGTGAAACTTGTCCAGTACGCCGCACTGTGCATTGAAGCCTTTGTCTTAGGCAGCAAGTTGTGCTGTGTATGTTGGTCTTGAGACTTGTAGCTCTCAAGGCCGTGTTGCACGAGACTCAACTATTGGTATGATGGTGTCCATGTGCATCGTTATCATAATTATTCTCCCTCTGCTCTACTAGGGGAGTGTATCTGGCTGGATCTGGAGCTGATCCAGAGAGTGGCCCAACACAGTAGAGCCATGTTCCCTGTGGTGAGATTTGCCTTCTCCTCGGTACCCACGTACCCGTGTGGCACCATCGGCTACCTCCTGGCCAGTACTAATGAGGCAAGTGTTACGTAATAGAGTCTAACAACCCCACTATAATATACCCATGTCGACATACTCGACTACCAGTAAAGTAAGGTCTGCTGACCACTGGCAGTAACATACGAAGGAATGTGAAGACCAGCTTTTATCAGGGAGTTGTAGCTCAGTGCATATGGGTATATAACTGCATGGACACTGCCTGGAGTCGACTCCTAACAAAAGTTGGTTCTCTTCTCAGTCTGAGTAAGCAGCTAAACCCTATTCATGTGGTGTATATATTTATGAGAGAGGCAGTTATATTGTGTGGCAGGCAACAGTGTTTGAGAGTCCAGTCCGTGTCCTCTCAGAGTCCCAAGTGGAGCTGATGAACCTCAATTTCTACAACAGTGACATCCACAGAGCTTCTTTTGCCCTGCCTCAGTTTGTCAAGAAGGTAGTATAATAGTTCCACAGGGATTTTTAGTGGTAATAATAATTATTATTATAGGTTGTACATAGATTGTAACGCCATTTGCTGTAGCATTACTGATCGAGTATATACCAACTCTTCTATATACTATTAATCGTGTTCTGAAATGTCGGTGATGTGTGAGCTAGTATGTATGTGATTGCAGGTTCTCCAGCCCACTAGCTGAGGATGCACAAAACTGATGACCTCAAATCTATGGTGTCTGCTAAATGAACTGTTTTTTGTGAATTTTTTTGACTGTGTTGTATTATGACGTGAAACTTTATTATTATTTGGCAGGAAGGTTGTGCGGAGGATGCTGAATAAGTAGCGAAACACGCAGGGCGGGTTCATTTAAGTGACGTTTGATGAATAATTGAAGTTTAGCTCGTGCCAAATATAATAATTATAGCATGACCAAGGTGAGTGGAGGCCAAATTCATGTATGCGCATGCGCACTTACATTAGCGCCATATCCCACGGCCAGTGACAATACTATCTGCGTCCTAATTCACATTCCGCTCGTGCAGTACAAAAGCTAGAAAATAGGCCTGCGTCCCGAGATCAGCAGTCGCACTGTCAGCCATGAGCGGGAGGATGATCCTGATCCCGTTCATTTTCCTCCTGTTGTGGAACGAAGGAGAGTAAGTGTTGCACTGAGAACAGCACTGCATAACTATAGCTAGACTGCATCTGTTATGTCATATAAATGCGCATCTCTTCATATATTTTCACATAGGGCTCAGTGCGCCGACGGCGACGTCGTATTAGTCGACGGCAGCGGACCTCACGAAGGAACGGTGCAAGTGTGTGTTAGCGGGTCGTGGGGGACCGTCTGCGATGACGACTGGGGCAACAGCGATGCTGCGGTAGTTTGCAGGCAGCTCGGATACTCCACAACTGGTGATTAGCTAAATATACAGCCCCACCACACGATGCTACTTGCGTGAGACAAGTCTTATGTACTTCGATATGATAGGACATGCAACAAAGAAGATGCATTTGCAACGGACTATCAACAATCAAAGTTGCTTTGTCTCACAAAACAAAGTTGTATCGCTTACATGTGCTTTTTCTGGAGCTTGGCTATATAGCTGCAACTAGCTATAGCCTCAGTATTCGCAAGAAATCTGTAATTTTGTATATAGCTAGCTAACTAACCAGTAAGGAGATGTTTGCGTTTTGTTACAGGAGCAACAGCTTTGAGCAGTGCACATTTTGGGACCGGCAGTGGTTCCATACTAATGGACGATGTAGCCTGCACGGGGACCGAGACACGGCTTTCTTCATGCTCCCATTCCTCAAGCAATAACTGTGACCACAATGAAGACGCGTCGGTGAGGTGTCGGTGTGCCAATGGCCAGGTGTCCCTCGTAGGAGGAACAGGGCCCCACGAAGGAAGGGTTCAAGTGTGCATTAACGGCATATGGGGAACTGTCTGTGATGACAGTTGGAGCACCAATGATGCAATTGTACTTTGCAGGCAACTGGGATACTCAACAACTGGTTCGACGAATAGCTAACCCTCTTTGCATACCACAGTTTTTAACCTGCTTTTTTCATTAATGCATAAAGGAGCTACTGCTATAAGCAGTGCACACTTTGGACCTGGTAGTGGGTCCGTACTTATGGACGAAGTGGCCTGTTTAGGGACTGAGTCGTGGCTGACTTCGTGCGTCCATGCTTCAAGTCACGATTGCAGCCACAGCGAAGATGCCTCTGTGCGGTGCGGTTGCATCAGTGGAGCTATTGGTCTGTTTGGCGGTGGAGGGCTCCACGAGGGTAGAGTTCACGTGTGCCTCAACGGAGTGTGGGGCACCGTATGTGATGACAACTGGAGCAGTAATGATGCCTCAGTGGTTTGTAGGCAGCTTGGATATAGCACAACAGGTGAGCATATACTATGACCTCCAAACTCTCTCATTAACTATTATAGTAGCTATAATATAGAAAGGCAACGCAAAGCAAAGAGGTTAAATACACCTACAAAGTCTGTAGTAATCTCTGCAATTAATGGGATGCATGGTTATGTTGTTGAGGCTGGTTCATACAGTATTATTGTGCAAGCCCTTGCATATCTGCCTCATGAGCGTTAATTGGTGTCACTGCAAAAAACAGCGAAACAGATTATTAGTGTAGCACTCTGTTATGCTGCAGGCAAACAGAAGCAACGTTAATTACACGATGCATGCAAGTGCCTACCTTCCTAAACAAACTTTTTGAAGAGCTTGGTTGAATATAGGAAATTAAATTTGGTGTTAGGACTATGAGAAATAAATCACCTTCCCTCTCTAGGAGCAATGGCTCTGAGCAGGCATACTTTGGACCAGGAAATGGGTCCATACTGATGGACGAGGTAGCCTGTACCGGTACAGAGACAAGACTGACCTCGTGCACCCATACAACAACCCACGACTGCAGTCATATGGAAGATGCCTCAGTGCGATGTGGTCATCGTTGTACCAGCGGAGACGTGACGGTGGTCGGAGGAACTGGGCTACACCAGGGACGAGTGGAGGTGTGCGTCAGTGGAGTGTGGGGGACAGTGTGTGACGACATTTGGACTAGCAATGATGCAATTGTTGTCTGTAGGCAGCTTGGATACACCACCATAGGTCAGTTTTACTGATACGAAAAGGCAGTTATACAGCGCACATTTCTAAACCCATTTTGGTTCTGTGATATGTAGCTGGGGACTAAAAATGCATGTGTGCAGAGCGTACTGTATGCGATCCAAGATCAAGGTGCTTGATCTCTTGGGCTTCGATACTTACTTAATGATGAATTTGTTTCTGTATAACACAATTTGGTCATGTTTTGGGGAAAATGAAAGTTATAAGTGCTCAAACGGTAGCAATAATTATTAAGAGAACTGGCACATAGCAACCCAGCAATAGCGACGTCTTTCTTTCCCAATTTTTTTCTGTTCTCTGGGTCAGAATGAGTTCTAATGTATGCATGTAACTGCAGGAGCATCAGCTTTGAGTGGTGCATTCTACGGTGCTGGTAGTGGTTCGATATTCATGGACGATGTGGCCTGCACTGGGACCGAAGCGCGTCTTCCCTCTTGTACCCATATCACAAACCACAACTGTGGCCACGGAGAAGATGCCTCGGTGCGATGTCCCCTCACACAACAGGCATCAGCAACTGGGTACATTAGCTACTTGAAATTGATTACGTGTGATGATATGAAACAACCTACCAAACAGGATTTGCATGCGAATTTTCTCCTACACTGACTACCGATCAGTCCGAACAAGTGTTTCCAGTTTAGTTTCATCTTGCTGCGGACTTTTCTGCTGGAGTCGCTGTTATAGGTAGTTACATAACACAAACTTTCAACAAAACAATGTGCACAAGTTTGTTTCCTCAGGAGAACGTATACAACAAGATATGTTACCCAGTCCCATGTGGTCTATAGAGCTGTCCCTGTTTGTTGTGCCGGTTACTCAGGAGATGGACACACCTGCACTCGTAAGTCAGTCGCATCAAATTTGAATAATGTTTGTAGCAGGAAACGCTGCCCAGCATTGTGTGGTACCGGATGTGTCAATGGAAGATGCACTAGTCCAGGAGTGTGTACATGTTATAATGGATGGACAGGACTCAAATGTGATCGAGGTAGCTACACACAGTCTCTCTAAACATTGTATCACCTTTATAATTATACTACTGAAACTGTAGCACTCTGCAACCCAAGATGTGTCAATGGACGATGCTCGAGACCAAATCAATGCTCCTGTTACAGTGGCTGGGGAGGCAGCATCTGTGATGGACGTAAGCCTTAATACGACACGTTAAAATAATACACAGTGTCATCTTGAAACTGAGGTAATAGCTCATACACTCTTTAAAACAACCGTTCCCAGAAGAGGATTCCTAGAAGTGCTATCGAATTGTATATTTTGCTACAAAAACAGCAGCAGCTGTTACCACCCTGACTATAAGTAATGGTATGGAACTGTTATACACATTCTTCCACACTTGCTAGAACAGATAAACAATTGCTCTATAGTTTCACAAGTCAGTTGACAGTGTTGGCAAAGGAAGCGAGTATAACTAGTTGTCTGAATGCGGTTTATAATGATGCTGTCACCATAGCATAAATGCTAATTTCAGATTCGCTAGCCAAAAAATGCGTTGCGTAATTTGGGAACTTGGTGGGTTCTTTTCCTGACTATCTGGTACACCAAGAAATGATTCTGTCCTTATATATTCAGTAACTCTGCCATTAATTAAAGCATGCTTTTGAATTTGTACGTTTGCTTAAACAGAGTAGTTAGAGACACCCCCGTAAATACTTACTGATTGAAAAGAGTTGAGGAACTGCTATCAAAAATATGTTAAGATCATCAGTGAAGCAAAGTGTGTTCGCAACTTTTTAAAAATAGCAACGGGTTTCTTTGCTGTTTAAAATTCACAATTAGAGACATGTCCTGGGAGAGAGGGGGCGATAAGGCTGGCTGGAGGAGTCACACTGATGAGTGGACGGGTGGAGGTGTGCAGTGGAGGAGTGTGGGGAACAGTGTGCAACGATCTGTGGGACAACTTTGATGCAAGTGTAGCCTGTTTCCAGCTGGGCTTCTCGAGATATCGTAAGTCCCTCACTAAGTGCAGATGAGTTGCTTCTACATACTGAGTGAGAGAGCCATAGCACAATGTGAACCTATACGGGCCGAGTTGCCCTGGAAGCTCAGTTGGTAGAGCACTTGCTCGAATCCCACCCAGGGCTTTGGAAAAAAACTGGTGTAGTTGACTTGTTTGCTTTGCTCTGCCTTTGCCTTTGCCTTGCTACCCCGTTATTGACACATGCAACTGCAATGTACAGGTATGATCTCCACACAACATGTTTCATGGAAATAGGCTGTGTGTTGCCAACACTGATGCGCCATTTCTTGGACTTTGCTCGCCAGCTGTTAGTGTTTATCAGCAAATCCTTAGACAATGTGCACGAAGTTACTCCACATTCTGTGGTGCAAACATGTAGTATTCTCTGCATGTGATTCTGTCTCTGACCACATAGTGTACACTCCTCTACCCACCTACACACACGCTCACTCACACACAGATTCTGTTGGATCCACATCTGGTTCACCTGGCACTGGTCCAATTCACATGGACGATGTGCACTGCATAGGGACAGAGACCAGTCTCTCACAGTGTCCTCACTCCACGCGCCACAACTGTGACCATAGTGAAGACGCTAGCGTTACCTGTGCAACACGTAGGTCCACTTAATCCTCTCTAAAAATTTACACTACTATATGATGCAACAGTTTATCTAGTCCTTCTCCCGTTGCCCATTGCCTTCGTTCCCAAGGTTGATATGCTCCTTTTCACAGTTCATCATCCATTTTCCACAGTTGATCTGTACTCATTGCCACAGTTGATCTACTCATTGCCACAGTGGTCTAGTGGTCACCATCCTCTCTACCCCAGGTGTATGTGTTGATGGCGCTGTTCGTCTCATTGATGCTCAAGGAGCAGCGGTGACCCGAGGGAGCATCAGAAAGGGGCGTGTGGAAGTGTGCATAAACGAGACGTGGGGAACAGTTTGCGACGAGAGCTGGTCGAGAAACGACGCCAAAGTTGTGTGTGCACAACTTGGACACCTAACGTCCGGTGAGTACACCTACTAAATACAAAGCAGCCCTTGTGCGAATGTACTCTACTGGCATGGAAACTACTCTGCAAACTTAGAGAATCGTGGCGACAGACCGTAGGTGCACTCCCGTCACTCTAGTGAGTGTGTACTTATGTGAGGCATCCCAGATAAGGTCTAGCTAAGAATACACAGGGAGTTTGCATAGTTTATTTGGTAGCACTCTGTGTAAACACATGGACACTGAATTTGCAAACAGGTGCAAGGAGCTACTCAGATGCACTGTTTGGTCAGGGAAATGGGTCGATCCTCTTGAACAATGTTGCCTGTACCGGAAGTGAGAATTCCCTACTTGACTGCACCTCTGACCCCATCGGTACAGTTGGAGGCTGTATACATGCAGACGACGCTGGGGTCAGCTGCCGGACATGTGAGACTATATATACACTGTATAGGATCCCAGTGCAGTGAACATCATTGTGTACTTTTCATACGCAAGCAATGTGCACCAACGGAGACCTGTACCTGGTGGACGGGGTGTCTGAAAACGAGGGGAGGCTGGAAATATGCCACAGCAACCAGTGGGGAACAGTCTGTGATGACCTCTGGGACTCACATGCTACAGGAGTGGCCTGCAGACAGCTAGGAGTCAGTGACTCCACACACGGTCAGTCAGTACTGACAGTAGATGTATTCCGTTCATGCTGTGAATAACACCGTGGGCGGTGCTGAGCTGTGTGTTGTCAATGTTCACAACTGCATATTTTCACATGGAAAACATGCAGTGAGATGGTTGACCAACAACATGTTCAGCACTGCTCCCTCGTCAGTCTCCATACTACTGGACGATGTCCAGTGTACTGGGTCTGAGGCAACTCTACTCAACTGCCCACACAGGCCCATCGGTCAAGACAACTGTGGACACTCTGAAGACGTCAGCATCAGATGTGAGCTCACCAGTGTCAGAGAGCTTTAAATGGAGTGTTTAGTACATAAGAGATATGCTACTAAAGATGGCAATAGGGTCCAGTGCAGGAATGCAATTAGGTTTAGCCCATGGCACATTACTGTCAAAACTGATGAATGATTTCTGTCTGTATATACGAGGTGGTGTGTGTGGGGAAGGAGATGTGAGGTTAGTGGACGGTAACAGTCACAATGAAGGGAGGGTGGAGGTGTGTATTCGTGGGCAGTGGGGCACCATTTGTGATGACGGTTGGAGTTTTTTCGATGCCATCGTCGTATGCAGACAACTTGGCTACCCTGCCTTAGGTAAAACCTGAAAACCGTTAATTAACCTGCTATTATAGCTTTTTTGTCACAGGAGCAAGTGCAATAGGTGGACAATCCTTCACCCCCAACTTCTCACTACCAATACTGATGGATGGTTTGAGTTGCGGCAGCAGTGAACGCAATTTGACTGAATGTCGCCACAGAGGCGCTGCTAACCTTGGGGCATGTTCCCACAGGGAAGACGCGAGGATACGCTGTCCATTACGTAAGCACTGATATAAAAGTTTTTCCTCGCATTAGGCTAGGTTCACATTATGTCACATTGCCCTGCTGTGCTGTGCCGCTTTGCTGCATCGCAAGGATAGAATCCTTCGCGGCACGACGTAACACTGACGACGTTGTGGGACAATGCAACACACTGTGCTTTAGGGAGTAAATTCTCTTTCCCAGCTCCACCAAGTGCTCCTCAGAGTATCAGAGCTCTCAACGTGTCTAACACTTCCATTCAATTGTCGTGGTCCCCTCCCTCTCCATCGCAACCTCCCTCCGCTCCTGTCACTGGGTACTCGATCACCTGCTCGGCAACTGGAAGGCCGACACGCAGAGCTCAAACCTCCAGTACCTCAGTGACTGTTGGGTCTCTACTGCCGTATACCACGTACTCTTGTTGTGTGGCGGCCCGCAGCTCTTCAGGGACTGGAGAAAGTGCCTGTCAATCACTGCAAACGACAGATACAAGTCAGTTGGTATTTTTTTCTTTCCCCGTGTAAAAATCTAGAAGTTGCAGCACCTTTCATAGCATGCTTCTGTGCATGCCTTAAAACAAAATTGCGTAGAGGCATATAAAAGAATCAACTCATCTTAACCCCATGTCTCTGTTTTTATTAGCCCCGTCTGACCCTCCTCAAAGTTTTGTCGCAGTCGCTATCTCATCTCGCTCCATACGAGTCTCCTGGCAACCACCGACAACACCCAATGGAAGGGTAACAGGGTACCTTATCCAGGTCACTGAAGCAAACACTAACACAGGGAGGCAACTGAGGTCCTCCTCGCTAACACGGACAGTCACCCGGCTACATCCATATTATAACTATGACATAAGCGTTGCCGCAGTGACTGTGGGAACGGGACCTTACTCTCCAACGATCAGGATTCAAACATTTTCAGATGGTAATAAATAGGCATAAGTAGGATGCATATCTAAAGCTAATTAAAGAGGGTGTGTTCCTTGTGTGAGTGCACTATAATTGTGGAGGACCTTATAGTGTTCATTGCATGGTCAGCCAAAATAGGGGGCAAAGACTCCCAATGCTCCTTTGTTCTGATGATGTGTTTGTGGTAAATATCAAGGTATATAGAAATTTGTGTTGTGGATTATTTCCCCATACAGTTCCTAGTAGTTCGCCACTTTTCTTCTCTTCAAGTATGGTCACATCAACCTCATTCAGAGTGACATGGCAACCACCAAGCCCTCAGGATCACAACGGGATTATCACATACTACAGACTACGCGTGGAGAACCAGCGCTCGTTGACTTCCCGTTCCATCACCGTCCAGCCATCATCAATACCATATACTGTTAGAAACGTGTCACCTTTCACGGTGTACAATTGGTCAGTTGCTGCGGCCACTGTCAATGGAACTGGACCCTATTCCTCAGACTACTCCGTTCAAACATTGGTTGTGCGTAAGTCACCTATGCTCTTGTCTAGTATTAATGGTGTACTGTGCCATATACCACAGTTGTTTGAGGTTTTCCCCTGGTCTTGTGTTGTAGATTTGAACCCATACCTTCTGAGCTGCCCAGGTGGCCCAGCTAGTAGAGTGTTCGCCTAGAGTGCAGGGTGTCCATGGTTCGAATCCCACCTATGGCACTTTTTTACTTCAAAAAGTCTTAGTGTATTGTTCACCTTTCCTTGTCTCTTTCATGACGCATGCAGCACCATCAGGTCCCCCTCAGTCTGTTGAACACACCGTACTCAGTCCCACGTCTCTTCGACTGACTTGGGACCCTCCGAGAATCGAGCACCAGAATGGCGCCATCAGTAGCTACCACGTTCAGTTGAACGATACAGCTGGCGTGAGAACCGTCACTGGGACCTCATACACTGCCAACAACCTCCGCCCGGGCACTATCTACGGCTACCGCATTGCAGCTTTCACAGTAGGCCTTGGTCCATACAGTCAATGGCAATATGTGAGAATGACAGAAACACGTAAGTACGCCAAGGATAGTAAACCCATATTAACTTAGACTATTTAATGTGCATTCGAATCTGCAGCTCCAGGGGCTCCAAGGAATGTCAGAGTACAACAGCGAAGGCTCACATCCATTACTGTCGCCTGGCAACCGCCTCCTTTGGATCAACAGAACGGAGTCATCGTCAGCTATACAGTCCACATCACCCCTCAGGGGGGGTCTGCTTACACCCGAGTCACCACGGCTCTTAGCTTCTTGGCTTCATCTCTGCTACCAAACACAGAGTACTCATTTGCAGTGGCTGCCAGTACAGCAGCTGGTAGGGGGTCATACAGCAGTCCATCTTTGAGAGCAAGAACTATTCCTCCAGGTACACAAATTGAAGAAGCATGCAGTCAGTTGAATAAATGAAGGAATGTTTATCAATCCTTAGCTTCTTTGGGGTGAAGTGGTGTTGGCTTAAATTTCATGGTTTGGCCATAGAAAAAGATGGGCAGCACCTTTTTCGCTTAGACCTGCACACACCCATTGGAACATGTAACTTTAAAGATTTTTTATCACACAATAGATGAGACGAGCCCCCCAAGGGACATCACCCTGATAGTACTGGATCACGAAAGGATTCTAGTTACGTGGAGCCCTCCTCCAGTACATCAACAGAGCGGTACCATCGATAGCTATCAAGTGCTTGTGATTGAGGAGGGTTCTGGGAGAACCTGGGTAGAAACATCACGTTTGCTGCGGTTGGCCCTAAACAACCTTCTTCCATCTACTACCTACAACGTGCAAGTGCGTGCAGTACCAGACACGGGATCTGGTATATACAGTGGAACTGTCATTGCCACAACCAATGTAACACGTAAGATTATAGTGATAGCCAAACCTTTAGTAATTGGAAACTGTTATTGTTTCAAAGGTCCTGGAGACTCTCCTACCATAACTACCTTCAGCTCAACTTCACGCTCAGTGTTCCTGCAGTGGATTCCCCCACCGACAAATCTGCAGTATGGTACCATCACTGGCTACATCATTGACTACCTCGAAGATGGCGTACTAAGGACGATCTCTGTAGCTGCTAATGTGCTGCAGTACACGATCCAGGCAACTCCGCACACAGAGTATGTGTTAGGTGTGGCCGCTGTCAACTTAGCGGGTCGTGGTCCCCTCAGTAACACTGTAGAGCTGCACACTCAAGAAGAGGGTAAGTCTTTCTCTCTTTCCCTATTCTCGTGATTATATACACACCTGATACTGACAGCACCAAGCCATGCTCCTCTTGGACTAATGGGAGTGCCCCTGAGTTCTGCTTCAATTTCTCTGACTTGGGAGCCACCACCAGAGGAAAACCACCATGGAGATATTGATTCTTACACTGTCCTCTGCTCCGTAGTAAATGATGAAGAGACACTGACTCGGCACACAACTCCAACCACTAACATCACAATTACTAGTCTCCTTCCCTATCGTACTTACAGCTGCAATGTGTCAGCATATACTGTTGGACATGGCCCCTTTACTGCCATTATCCTCACTACAACATTTGAAGACGGTTAGTCTCTAAGGATTGTAACAGGTTCTCCTCTTTAATCCTTAAGTGTATGTTTTCTCTATAGTTCCAACTGGACCTCCAAGTAATCTTGCGGCAAAAGATGTGGGGCCAGATTCGGTGACTTTGACTTGGTCTGCGCCAGAGCCTGATCTACGGAATGGAATCATCCGCCACTACTTCATCACTCTATTCCCCATAACCTCTCCTTCTTCTGTTACCTCACACAGAACTCCTACTTCCCTCACTAACCACACTGTGGGTGGGCTACAACCGTATACTTCATACAGTATCTCAGTGGCTGCTGTGACCATTGGTGTTGGACCTAGTTCTGGCTATGATGAGTTTGTTACAGATGAAGCCGGTATGTTGAAAAAGTGGTTTTAGCTTCATAGCTCATGTGTAGCCTGTAAACTAAGTTTTTTTATGAATCTTTTTCAGGGTATATTATTTTTCTGCTCCCACTATGTACTTTGTCGTTCATCAGGATGGATCATTTTCCATTTAGCTAAATTGTGCCTGATAAACCTGACATCAAAAGAAAATTAGCTTGTTCAAGCCTGTGAAGTAATCATTCCATCCCTCTTGATTAGTAGATGCATTAGCCAAACACAACTGCCCTAATGGTGCATCAGTGCACTTGAATCATCGACAAAATGGTGGCATCATGTTTTTATTACAGTCAGTTACTGTGCACTGGGTAAACCATTTGAGCAGTGATGGGTGCAGAAGCACAATAGCAGCTTCACCATATGGGCACTGTATTATAGGTAGCATGCAGTAGACACTCAGTGCATACTGTGGTGATCCCAGTGCAAGTAATGCATAAGATCTTGTAAGCCTATCTCATTATAATACTGATTGTTCTACACAGCACCTTCTGCACCACCATATTCTCTGCTACTGAATCCAACATCACCACAAGCACTAACTATCAGTTGGGAACCACCTCCAATTGAGTCTCGCAATGGTATGATACGTCGCTACCGCATCAGACTTTGGGAGGAAGAGACCATGACCGAGAGGAGGATAAACACACTTAGTAACGCCACGGTCTTCGCTGTTGATGACCTTCACCCATACTACCACTACAATGTCAGTGTGGCAGCTACGACTGTTGACATAGGACCATTCAGTTTTCAAGTAAAAGTACACATGCCGGAAGCAGGTTAGTACATACAGCTTCTGTTTTGCTTCACTATTATCATTAGGTGGTGTACCTACCACGAAGGAAAAACTGATAGTGATAGTTTACTTTATTTTCAGAACCATCTGGCCCTCCAAGAGATGTTGCAGGGAGGCCACTGAGCTCTACCTCAATTCATTTGCAGTGGGAGCCCCCATCATTTGAGGAACAAAACGGGGACATTGAATCGTACAAAGTACTGTGCTTTTCAGTTCAAAACGATCCACTACTGCTCAGCTACACGACAACCACCACTGATATAACTATCACTGGTCTTCATCCATACTACACCTACAAGTGTAATGTGTCAGCGGTGACGGTGGGTGGGGGTCCATTCAGTCGCTTTGCTGATGTCACTACACTGGAGGATGGTACGTATGTTTCACAGAGGTGGTTAAATTTTACTGTGTAAATTTTTACACTCGGGTACTTTTTTGCAGTTCCAGGACCTCCACAAGACCTCGCAATTGTGGGATTTAGATCCAGATATGTGACATTGTCCTGGACTCCACCACCAGAAGAAGACAAGAACGGAGAACTCCGGCAGTACATTATCCACGTGGTTCCAGAACAACCCTGGTTGGAAGCAAGCAAGTACATGACAGCCGCGTCAGTGCTATTCTACACCGTCCACGGGCTCCACCCTTACTCCAACTACTCAATCAGTGTAGCTGCATACACAATAGCATCCGGACCCAATTCAACAGCAGTACAACTTCAAACACAGCAGGAAGGTGAGATTCATATATCTTTATTGGATGTTGTGGAACCCATTAAGGAGGCAGGCACCTCGTCACATCATTGATATATTTTTTAAACCTCACATGGGTTGAATCCTGATAGTTTGGGTCAGCCACTAAAACATTCCCTCTCTATCTGGATCTTTCGAATTTTGTTTAGGCTTTGTTCAATCTTTCTACCCTGTCCTGATGCAATATTATGGCTAACTTGTTTGTGCCATTCATGTTCTCTTATCCATTCCAGCTCCATCAGCATCTCCCGTGGGTGTATCTCTCAGTATACTCTCACCATACTCGCTCTTCATTTCCTGGGAACCCCCACCGAATGATGCACGGAACGGAGAAATTCTCCACTACAATGTCCGCGTGGTCGCCTGGATTGATACAAACAGTGCTGCACTGTGGACAGCCACAGAGCTGGAAATGACACTTGAGTCTCTACGTCCGAATTTTGAGTACACAATCAGCATAGCAGCCACTACTGTAGCGCAAGGACCTTACAGTCCAGAGATCTCTGTTACCATGCCTGAAGCTCGTAAGCTCACATAAAATGTGAAAAATGTTTCAGTTTCATTCTATTATCCGCAGCACCAAGTAGAGCACCAACTGTATCAGTAGGCAGTATTGCATCAGACTCTATTCAATTACAATGGATGCCCCTGGCATTTGAGGACCAAAACGGGATAATTACTGGTTATGTTGTAGAGTATGGGAGTGACAGAAGTGGCAACCATTCGGTAAAAGTGGAGTCGACGAGGTATACCGTCCCAGCTCTTCCATTTACTAGCTACTGGCTGAGAGTTGCTGCTAATAATTCTGCTGGTTTGGGTCCATTCAGTGAAGCAGTAATTGTGGAGACGTCACAAGATGGTACGGTTTAACAGTAGCATTCAATAAACTTGCTATTCGTTACACCATACTCTGCTCTACCCTATAGTTCCATCGCATGAACCACTATCTCTGGAAGTTACAAATGTCACTTCCACTTCAATTCAGCTACAATGGGAGCCGCCACCTTCAATACATCACAATGGAGTCATACGCTCCTATGCTGTTCGTTGCTTCGTGCCCGAAACAAAGGAAATCGTTGAGAGAAATAGTAACATTCCAGAGATAACCATCAGTGAACTGCATCCTTTCTATACGTACAGCTGCAATGTATCTGCATCGACGCCGGTGGGTCCAGGACCATTCACTGATCCCGTAGTGATCAAAACACTGCAAGATGGTATGTATTATCATGCTTTGCCTTTTGTCTGTCACTGATGAAGGCTATTTCCACCCGCAGCACCATCTGGTCATCCTTACGATATCATAAGCACCAACGCCACTCACAACAGCTTGGCTATATCGTGGACCCAACCTAATCCATCTCAGTGGAATGGAATCATTCAGTACTACATCATATACATAAGACAAGTGGAGCCACCGAGCAGTTATGCAGTTTACACTACATCCTCAACCAATGTAACTGTCACTGGGCTCCACCCTTACACCCACCACGATATCAAGCTGGCTGCATTCACTATTGCACGTGGCCCAAACTCAACTGCTCAAACCTTTAGAACAAGCGAGACTGGTGAGCTGGACAGTTCATTTTTAGAAAACCTTCCTAAATTCTAAAGTACACCTTTCAATGCAATTGCTTGTATTTTTCCTGCAGTTTCCACAGGTCCACCTCGGGATGTAACGGCCCACCCAATTTCTTCAACTGATCTCACTATCACTTGGAGGGAACCTCAGCCAGACAAGCAAAACGGGAAGATCAGGCACTACAATGTCTCCTTGTATGAGCAAGCTACAGGGGAGAAGACTTGGTACCGGACCACTGATGCGACGGCTCACTGGACTCTGCCACATCTACATCCGTACAGAGTCTATCACATCAGAGTGGCTGCAATCACTATAGGTCTCGGCACCTTCAGTGGAGATGTAGTACTTCGCATGCCCGAAGATGGTTTGTGCATAATTATGCTTATCTTGCCCATTGCTCCATTTTGCTCTATGATTTCCAGCTCCATCCAGCTCTCCTTCGAACCTGAGTCTCATAGAGAAAGGATCCAGCTATGTTCTACTTGAGTGGCAACCTCCACCAAAAGAATCACATAATGGTGTAATCCGACATTACATTGTTGCACTGACAGAGGGGAACAGCACAGAAGCACTAAGAACCAAACTTCCGTCTCTTCACAGCCATCTATCAATATCGGGTCCCTGGAGCCAGGAATCACATACACCTGTGTCGTTTCAGCAGTAACCGTTTCAGTTGGCCCATTCTCTGACCCAATTTCAATCACCACAGATCCTGATGGTAAAGTGTCACACAGTGTTTTGTTTCCATTATTGAACTGTTTCTTCTTGCATCTAGTTGCTGGAACTGTAAAGGGACTTGTGGCGGTGGCTGTTTCTTCTCAATCAATGAACATCTCCTGGTTTTCCTCCTGATGATATTAACACGGCCAATGAGATTATCGAATACCAAGTACGCGTCGCACACTTTGGAGGGTCTGGTACTGATGATGGATATCTCACTACGACCGTTTCAAAGTCCATAGTGGTGGGAGCTCTACATCCTAACTACGTCTACCAGTGTTCCGTTACATTCAGAACGCGTTCAGGCCTCGGGCCACTTTCTTTTGTGCTGGTTCAACTTCCTCCTGACAGTAAGTTTAGTCATTTCAAGGCTGTCACATGTGTCAGTGATCAAGCGATTTTGCAAGCTATGTAACTGCAAGACTATCATTGATTATAGCTAGAGTATGTTTTTCTACCAACTCGTGTTTTGCATGATGTAGCACAAAGCAGAACGGATAGAAAGATTTACTTTACACGGTGTCTACTGCAGTATTTGTTTTGCTGCATCAATGTTCATGCTGGCAGATATTTCAGAATACACATGGTTACCATTTTATAGTGTCTACTGTACTAAACACATGTGCATAAATGTACCTACAATACCAAACTTTCCCTGTCCTCAGTACCTACTGGTTCTCCCATGAACGTGACTGCCATAGCATCTGGCCCCACAACACTGCTTGTCCATTGGAACCCCCCACCCCCAGAGGAACAAAACGGCGACATAATGCAGTATGGGCTCAACATCACCAACATGGAACTTGGGGACACAACAACTCACTATCTCAGTGGCTCGAGGACGTCTTTCATATTACAAAATCTTCGCCCACACAATGTGTACCAGTACAGAATGACAGCCTATACAGCAGTCGGAAATGGACCGTATTCACCTTCACAAACAATACAGATGCCATCTGCAGGTAGCTACATACATACAGCACCTCCTAATCCAACAGGGAAAATGCTTTACCAAAGAACCCTCTCTGAATTACATACCCATAAAGCAACTTCAGATCCATTTGAAAACGAGTTTCACAAAATTGTACAACACCTTCACGCCCACCGCATAACCAGTTTTACTCTCTGTCCTTTTGCAGCACCTTCGAGTCCACCACTCAATCTGTCCCTGGATGAAGTGGGATCCAGCTATGCTCTCTTGCGATGGTCTCCTCCACCTCAGAGAGACCACAACGGAGTTATCCAAAATTACGTAATCCACCGCAACAGCTCTCGAGGAGAGGTTGTAAACGTACACACTGCTGGGCCAGAGACGCACCTTCTGATGAGCTCCTTGCAGCCTAACACGAAATACAGTTGCGGTGTAGCTGCTGTGACTGTGTCCCCAGGTCCTCGGTCCACCGCCATTAAATTTCACCACTAACACCTCAGGTATAACTGCATAACACAACCTTCACTTACTACCTGATGAAATCGAACATAATAATAATATTATGACAGTACCAAATTATTTATAGCTCTTGTTCATGCTGCAGTTCCAGATACAGTGCGGAATCTCAATGCAACAGTTCTGTCGACCCAGACACTGAACGTCTCCTGGCTCCCTCCGCAGGATGGAGCCACCTACCTCGACTTCCGGGTATCTGTCACTCCTCTCTACAGCAACAGTCAGTCCCGAATGGCAACGACTGCGTCCACGAGCGTTGTCATTACTGGTCTGCAGCCGGGAACCTTCTATCTCTGTGTGGTTGCTGCGAGGACGAGTGCTGGGCTCCATCAATCAGTGAACGTAATATTGGTGGAGATGCCAGCTGATGGTAAGTAAAGCTGTGTGTATATATCTAGACGGTTATGTAATATAATATACTTTTCAGCTCCGTCAGGTTATCCTCGCAGTATATCTCACATAGCGTCTGACTCCAGGACACTTCGCTTGTTCTGGAGTCCTCCGCCACTCGAGCACCAGAATGGCATAATAGTCAAGTATGCTATGAACGTAATGGAGTTGGAGACAAACAAACTGAGCCAGTACCTGACCCGAGATTCAAGCACTACATTTGTCATACGCAACCTTCATCCTCACTACAACTACAACTATACAGTGGCTGCATTCACGTCGGCAGGAAGCGGGCCACACTCTCCCACTACCCATGTACAAATGCCAGAAGATAGTAAGGATCTTTGTATAAACCAGTAGGCGAATGCATTGCATTTTTGGCAAGCGGGAGTGAGCATACAACGAAGCCACACATGCGCACTTACATGACATTTGGACATATAATTATATATTAAAAATCGCGCCGTTCGGACCACTAGGTTAGCTCCCTCCCGCTCGCCAATAGCAAGAAAAGCAAATCCATCTACACTGCGTGATTTTTCTATTTTGCTTTACCTGTGTTTACCACTCACATTCACTGCTCAAATAATTGTGCGTTGGATTCATGTTGGATATAATTGTGATACTGTTCTCAGTTCCAGATGCTTTTCCAAGGAACCTGACAGCTATCAACAGTGGCCCACAAGGCGTTTTCCTCAGCTGGGTTCCTCCACCTCTTAACAAACACAACGGAGTGATTACCGGCTATGTTGTAAAGATAATAGGCCTGAGAGAATTGGTTGTAGACAATACTACAAGTCACAGTATTGGTGGTTTGAATGCGTCATCTTCATACAGCTTTTCAGTAGCCGCCAAAACTAGTGTTGGACCTGGACCATTTTCCGAGCCAGTATCTCTCGTTACCCATCATGGAGGTAATGCAGGGAAACCTTTTCATCAATCCTTGATATTATACTCCTCTCCTCTGTGCACAGAGTCCCCAGCTCCAGAAGGCGTTTCAGCAGAGAGAATATCAGCCACCCAGATCAGAGTTACCTGGCCGGCGGTTGAGGACAACGCAGCAAACTCCCCCATCCTGTCCTACGTGGTCAAGTATTATCCCGTCAGGAGTGACCCTCGGTCACGAAGAGAAGAACCAGACTTCAAACTAATCCAGACGGACACTAATGTGACGATTGGTGGCCTTGTCCCCAGTCTGACGTATGGAGTGGCTGTTGCAACCAATACAGAGTTTGGTACTGGAACCTTTAGTGATGTTATAACTGTTGGACGTAAGTTTGTTGGTGCCAATCTGCTCAATGTGAAAAACTTTTTTTGCAGTGTCAGAGTACAGCCGCTTTCAATTGTTCTTTACTGGAGCAATAGACTGTCAGCAATGGATTGTAAGTTGTCGTGTATTTGTATTCGCATCGTGCTTCAAAGAAAGTCCCCTTTTCCACAGCTCTACCATGTAGATGCAAAACTAAAGTCTATGAAAGATTCACTAGTGCCTGAACTGGAGAAGAGCTGCCAGTGTCAGTTCTCTGTAGACTACCTGGAGGTGGACCAGCTCCAGTGCATCTCAGCCCACACCGACTGGCTCATAGTGTTGGGCAGAATAATAGGAACCAACCTCACTGATAGCAAAGATATCAGGGACAAACTTCAAGAATGGAGCGATATGGAGTCAAAGGCCGTAATTGAAGGGGTTCACTTAACAACACTGCAATTTTGCTCAGTTCCTCTTGAAGGGGAAGATCTGCCATACTGTGAGACACCTACAGCTGTGACAGATGCTGACAAAAGAAGCGATGCTTCTGAGGGCGAACCACTGTCCTCAAACCTCACCTATTCCATTGTGGGTGTGGTGGTCGTAATGCTGATGATGATTTTCGCAGTTTTAGTGTGCATTGGAACAGTGTCGCTTTACAGGAAGAAGAAAGTGCGGGATCGCCAGTTACAGTAGGTCACTTATTACTTCATGATAAATTTGTTTTCCTCACTTCTCTCTCCACAGATTCCATTCAGCACATCCACTCAATCATTTAAACACCACTTTCGGTGCTCCAAGTACTGCAGCAGCTGCTAAATCCAAGCCTGTGGAAGACGATGACAGCAATGTGTACGAGCAGGCAGACAGCATCTACGAGACAATTCTCGACTCCGAATCCCCATACTCTCACCCTTCACCCCACCCTCCTCCTCCTCTGCCTATTCCCAACAATACCCTACCTTTCGAAGAGCAGCAAAATGCAGCCCCTGCTACCGGAGGCAATCCCGAGCCTTACTCAAAAACACAGTTTTTCCCCTCCAAAGATCTCTCGAAGCGCTGCCCGTCCCCCTGTCGATTACTCACTTTTGAATCCAAATGCTGCTCTCTCATTGCCAGGGCGTGAGACGGAGTATGCATCCGTCAACGACACGGCTTGTATAGCGAGTCAGCTTAACACCGGTGATGACTATGTTCCGATGTACGATGACACCGTTGCTAAAGAAGGTGGAGACAGCACGACTACAAGGTCCGCCTACCAGAATATTGCTCGCGAGTCTCTCGACAAAGAGAATGACTATCAGGTACCTCGACCGGTGAAACCAGAAACAGAGGGTCAGGAGGAAGGAGCAAAACACCACTATGCCAACTTTGTTGCAGGCATGAAGACTCAATGACATTGTGTGTGTGGACAAAACAAACTTGTAGCTAATAATATGCCAGTCACCTTTTGCAGCAAGAGTACTATAGCTACCATATTATATTTAACAACAATACCTCCAACAACAAGACCTCCTAACGTGCTCCCTCCTACGCCTATTGCACAGTTACACATGGCAAGAGAAAGACAATTCGGCTGTAAAGGGCTGCTCTCCACCAACATAGGTGATAATCACACACAAGAGGCTAAGTTATACACAATGTGAGCCATATAGCAGTGAGCAGTGAGACTGGTATATAGCTACGTAGCATCGGAGAGGCAGCCGATACAAAAGGCAACAACAAAATGTTACAGAAAATGTTAGGCAGTAGCTAGCTATAATTAGAGAAATCAGTTTCTCCCTGGGGACTCACCCAATGGTCATATTTACTGCCCAAGAAGAAATACATAGAGCTAAAAGCAAACCTCAGTGACGGCAAAACAGCACAGTGACGAGTGTTGGCTAGATACATTAAAAAAATACAGGTGTGTTGTGATCACTCGTGACTGAACAAGTTTTCCTTGAAACTGTGGTTGCTAATCATCGTAGATTGATAAAAGCCGAGATAAAAGCAACCCTGAGACCGGAGACGATCCGGTGGATTGTACTGAAGCCGCCGAGCTACGGCACCAGGGTTCTTATGTGAAAGTGCATGCATCACATGGTATTTTCTAGCATACAGCGCGTGGACAGCAGACGGAGCGGTCGAGCGAGCGCCTGCTGCCGATAGCTAAGAAATTGTAGTTAGTTACCCAGCCCTTTCTGCTTACAAGTCTAAGTCCGAGGAACTCCTGTTTTGTCTGGTGTCTTTGTAAGAGCGAATGCAGCCGTGCGCCTGCGAAGCCACACCCCTCGTGGCCGCCCAGCCAGCGAAGAGTGACTTTGATGGCTCAGCAGAGACTGAGAGAAAGAGGCAAGCTATTATCATGGTAAGACAGGACTTTTTGGAGCACATGCCGGGTTGGGCGACTCTCGCTGGCCAAACTCTCGCGGCCAGGGCGACACTCAAAGTGTGTATGGCAATCAAAAGATCGCAGATTTAGGGGCAAGCGAGTTCATCACTTAGGCCACTTATGTCCCTGGATTTTCATGTCTGCTATAGGCTCTCCCCTGGCCAGTGAGACTACGTAATAGAGCCACAGTGGGCATCACACGGTGTACTTACGAATCAACCACTTTGGTTTCCCTCTCTTCTGTGCAAGATTGATACGTTTTTGCAATATTTAGCATAATATCAGTCAGTATTCTCCCTTTCTGGCAATAGATGTCCCAAAATTTCAAAAACCCAGTGTGCTAGTTCATTTTCGGGAATGTAGCATGAATGTAGTAATTAGGGATAAAGTATACTTTTTGCACCTGTGTATTTTGTGGTATACTATTGCTGTGTGAATGTTCCTTTTGTGTCGAGGGTTTGCACTTCATTTTTTACTTTGTTAGGTTGCTGTGCTCTCAAAACATGGCTCAAAGTTTGCGTTGTGTCTTCTGGTTATTATAGCAATTACATCTACTTTTGTCCTCTATCTAACGCGACAGCAACCAAAGGCATTCCTTCATCAATCATCCCAATCAGCTTCTCTCTTTATATCAATTAACTATTTACCGTCGGTTTTTACTAATGCGACACCTTCACCACTTATTGCAACTACAAGGAAACCAGTCAAGGATTGCCCTTTTACTGATGATTTTGGGGAAGTTGGGTCATTACTTCGGAATGGTCGTACTGGTGCAGTGACACTTACAAAAACCAGAGGTGTGGGATACTGGGTAGGTCTCCACTTCTCTGACCAGGGGACTGGAGCGTTTTTGAACATGATGAGCTTTCTTTGTCTGTCATCGTTCGTGGGTGGAGTCCGAGTTGTCGAGCCTTTTGCTTTTGGCTCCAATGTCGGTCAGAAGGCCAATGAAAACTGGACGGAGCAACTTCCATTCAGTGACGTCTTTGATGCTGACGAGTTTAATTATTTTGCGAGATCTCGGGGGTTTAGCTCATTGGTACCGTACAGTAAGTTTCTAGCTGACGCTCCCCGAAAACTTCTGGTTGCGCAGTACAAGTGTGATACCAAGTTCAGTCGCTGCCGAACATGTGGGCATGGAGATGTACTAGAGCAAGGGAGACAATTTTCGAAATGGAACGGATTTGAAATGGTTGGTCATGTGTGTTTGGACTATAATGGATCAAACGTGTCAATGACCCTTGAAGAGTTCCAGAGCCAGCTCTATAGTACTTACAACAGGTCTGAAGTCGTAGTTCTGTTTCCCCTGTTTGCAGGGGTTACTAATGAACTGGAAACATTTCGACTCATTATGAGTCAAAGAGAGTGCCAGAGGTCAAGTGTGTCGGCGAGCTTCTTTAGCATTAGACCCAGCAAACTTGTCGAGACTAGTGCCGACAACTACATTGACAAGTATTTGAAACGAGGCAGGTACATATCTGTGATGGTGAGGTTGGAGAGCATTGTCAGGCCACTAAAACTAAAAGAATTTACAGTCAATAGGTGTCTTTATCGCTTATACAAGGTAGTCAAAAACTTAAAATCAAAGTATGGTTATAGTGGTGTCGCTCTATCCCTCGATGTTGGAATATACGGCTCTTTGTATTTTCGTGAATTTCCGAATGAAATGGATGCCATCTTACCCGCCGTAAACAGGTTTATATCTAAGACAGTGGAGAGAGATATGACCTTGTCAGACTGGGAGAGCACTTTTACAAACACAACACTAAGGCAGAACCCTGGATTTGTAGCAATCATGCAGAAGGCTATAGCAGCAAGAGGTGAACTTCTTATTCTGGTAGGTGAGGACTCCAGTTTCCAGAAGTCAGCACAGTTGATGTTTATTATGACACATCCCGACCCCGAAAGGGTCGTTCATTTAGGAAAAACGTGTTGGTGACATTTCAAAGTTGTATCGAAGACTATTATTACTAGTGGAAATGTTGAACATTGTTGGCAAGCGGGAGCGACCCAACTTAGTATTTGCCCGCGATGTTGGGGCTGCATGACGTGCCGTCAGCGCTTTCGTGAAGCAAGACAGATCTACCTGTCGCCGTTACATGCGTACTGTATATTGCCTGAACGGTGAGCAGGTGAGCAGAACGGTTCTTACCTTACAGCGTACGTCGTGTAAGTATGCATGTGCGGCTTCTTTACGCGCTTCTTTTTATCCGATATCATTTCCAAATTTTTACACATTTTCACACACGCTGCCTCGCGATAATAATATGCGCCGATCCATCTAGCCAGCGAGATAACGCTCCTCCATTTGACGGCATGCGCTGCAATCTTCGGTAACTGACCGAGGCTGCACCTCTTCCCACTCTTCATTCGAAGGTGCAACTTGGAAATAAACTAGAATTGCTCGTGCAGATACTGCTGCATGCCAGCTGCCTGGTGGACACAACTGACGAGCTGAAAGCATGTCGTATAATAAATAGAAAAATCCGCTCGAACGAACGACTAGGTTGGCTCGCTTCCGCTCGCCAATAATTAAAACAAGCACTATGCATGCTTATGAGCAGATCCAACAAATAGTTAGACATCTTCTGGTGTGACTTGGAATTTCAGTGATTGATGCTCTTACAGCTACTAACAAAAGACGTTAACCAGGTAAATAGAGCATTACCATTAATGTGATGTTTTGCGGATACGCTTGCAGAGTGCCAAAATCACACACAATTCAGTGGGCTGCTTCTCTAGCCAGTAGCTAAATATTTTTGAAATAATTATGATGTGGACGAATGCAATGCGTTTTTGGCATGCATGTGAGAGTCACACGTATGCAGCACAAAAACAATAATAGTTTCTCTGTTATAAGTATTATAACATGATGGTATGTGTGATCGCCTGCTGGGAATAATTATAGTGTCGTAATCTCGCATGTTGATTACTCTATAAGTATAGGCTCGTTTTGCTCGACAATTATAGGGATTCAAACCACTTGATGTGAGAAGCCCTCAGGGGCAGAACACAGACAATCCCACCACTGTATACAGTGATACACATAATAACTGCTGCTATAATATAGCTCAAAATACACACACATAGCTACTCTCAAAAACTGAGACCTGTCAGTAGCATACCTACACAACACAACTTATGTATTGTGTACAAAGTGTCACTGGACACACGATCTACACAAGTTCCTTGAAGTTAGCATAGTTGTCATAACTGTGTACAAAGTCAGCCAAAACCTCGTGGCCATAAGCATACTGCTCCTGAGAGGATGAAACACAGACGATCAATCAGAGCCAAAGAATTGTCTAATACAAAGAAAGACAAGGAGAAATAGATCACGTACAGCATTTTGGACAAGTCCTGCTCTGTGGATGCGAGCATACTTGACAGCCTGAAAGAAGTCCACCACACCCTCTGTCTTGAGTCTCTCCAACTGAGAATGAAGACAGATGAAGGTTCCAGTTCGACCCACTCCATCACTGCATGGGTCGGGAGAAGGTATACCATAATTATGGGCCAGTGGCAGCTACACATGTCAGCAATAGACAAATGCATGAGGTGGAGACAAATGCAAAGGTGGCAATGGAAACAACACAACTATGTGTATGCACTCAGGATGACTCTGTAAGTTTGCCAATTGACAGAGAGACAGATACATGTGTATACGCATACAGAGTCGCATGCTACCATGTGGTTGATCAAAGGTCATCCCTATAGTTGTTTCAAGCGGTCCAGGCAGAGTGCTTATACCCACTGAGCTATAATATACTAATGCAGCAATGTATTCAGAACTGCCCTGGCATAGAGGATATAAGCATCTGGCTGGAGTTTGACATTTTCAGTTCTTTAGCCTTTGGAAGAGCATTTGCTCTAAACCACAACAGTCTGGGGTGACAGGTTAGTGGACTTGTGGTGGGGGTGAATCTCATTAGTTTGGAACCTCAATTCACTATTGGTAAACCGGTGCCCTGGGGAAGATAATGCTCTGCTGATAAGGCCCAGCTGAACAGCTTTCGTGCAGCATCACTAGTAGTCATACCATTGTCAACTGCAGTAGATTGCCTTACTTGCAAAGGACAGTGATGGGTCTAGTTCCAGAGTTCATCTGGGCCTTTGTGACCACATCCAACAGCTCCAGGACTGAGGCAGTGGAGACTGGTTGGCTGTGCTCTGGCCAGTCTATGTGGAACTGGGTCACCACTCTCCCTTCTCCCTCTTGACCAACCACCTGCATAACATTCAGAGTGTGTTTCTAGTTATTGTGTCTGTCCTCTGCCTTTTACTCCCTCTAAAAGTGCTAACCTAAGCTCCATGTCAGTCACTAGTGTATACCAAACCAACAGCTTTAATACTTCTAAAACTCCAAAAGCAAACAGCTCTTTCCTCTACTTCTTCACACCGGAATAACTATAAACAACTTCATTCAAAACCCAGTAATTGACAGTGGCTCTAATCGTCATTCCAAATAATTTTGTCACGGGCCTATATAAACGGTGACAAAAGAATGGAATACGCGTCCTTGACTACTGTTTGGCTATGGCCATCTACCTGGTCTCCCTTCAGCAGTAGTGTTCGTGAGGCAAAGTTCCCCATAAGGATCTCTGACTGGAGAGTGACAGTCACCCTCCCGTACTTCGCAGTGTCCCCCTCGTTTTGGGGCCAAAATGGATGACAAGCCTCGTGGCCATCCTCTTCGAAGGCACACAGCAGCACCATAACCTTGCTCTTCACCTCCCACATCATTCTCCACATGTCTCCCACCGTGCTCTGCAATGGAGCCTGTGTCGCAATGTAGGCCCTGTGGTGCTTATATCCCTGCAATCATTTCAGGCTAATTTCAGAGTCCCACTGTTGAACATTTTACTCACATCGATAAAACTTGCATTGATGTAGGAGCCTTCTCTTTCAATTGGTTTCAGGCATGGCATGAACTCCACATCTGTATAATTATACACACGAGTAAAATAGCTACATTAGGGTATTGAAAACTAGCATACAAGGAAGGTGGTCAGGGTAGCGGTTCTTTGAAGGATGTTCATGTGCTTTGACAAAATCTTGCTCCATTGGCTTGCGACTCACATGATCCAGCAGCTATTATTGTGAAATAATCACAACCGTTGGCAATAATACTAGCTGGTGCAAAAGTTACAAAATGGTTTAGGTGGTGCAAAAGTAAAAGGGGTCATCTACCACAGTTTCGTTGTTTAAGGATAGTTGGTTTGTCTCTATTTCTACTCATGTGCGTACAAAAAATGCTAAATTGTTGACACACATGTAGGGGAGGACGCAAAATTTGGGTGAGATAGGGAAAGGTGCAGCGAGATAGAAGATGGTACCCATTCCATACTCCAACTGTAGTAAATGTATTAAGGATACTTGGTTTGTCTCTTTTTCTACTCATGCGCTTAGAAAAAAAATGCAAAATCGTTGACACACTCAGGACGTGAAATTTGGCGAGACAGGGATAGGTGCTGAGATAGAAGATGGTACCATTCCATACTCCAACTGTAGCAAAAGTATTAAGGATACTTGGTTTGTCTCTATTTCTACTCATGTGCCTACAAAAATGCTAAATCGTTGACACACATGTAGGGGAGGACGCGAAATATGGGCGATAGGTGCAGCGAGATAGAAGATGGTAGCAATCCATACTACAACTGTAGCAAAAGTATTAACGATAGTTGGTTTGTCTCTTTTTCGTACTCTTGTGTCTACAAAATCGTTGACACACAGGTAGGCGAGGACATGAAATTTGGGCGAGATAGGGATAAGTGCAGCGAGATAGAAGATGGCAGCATTTCATATCCAACTGTATAGCAAAAGTATTAAGGTTAGTTGGTTTGTCTCTTTTTCTACTCATGCGCTTAGAAAAAACGCAAAATCGTTGACACACTCATGTAGGGGAGGATGCAAAATGTGGGCGAAATAGGTATAGGTGCAGTGAGATAGAAGATGGTACCATTCCATACTCCAACTGTAGTAAAAGTATTAACTACACTGGCAACTATTCATTCTGACTTGAAACTGCTGCTGGAATCCAGTGAAAGTCTCTCGGGCAAGCTCTGGGCCATGACTTCCACAGCAGTGTTCAGTCTGGAGGCTGAGATCTCTGTGTCTCCACACTGGATGACCTCACACAGTGCATCGTGGACAAGCACATGCTGCGCCTGCAGTTAGAGCAATAGTACTTTTCTATGCACCTCGTCCCGTTAAAGTTGCCAACTCGTGTAAAATACATAGACCACGCTCCTCCATTGGTATACCATGAATTGTACGTACCAGAGTCTGGACCATGAGTACTCTTCTCTCGCGGAGACTAACAAGGAACTCGTACACGTTGATGCTGT